GGCAGTGGCCAGGAATCCCTCCCCCCCCCAGCCCAAGGGAGAGGACACTCTTTTTATTTCAGATCCCTGTGTGATGAGCACTTTCTGAAAGCGATTACCCAAGGAATCTTCCTTTAAAGGGTGATAAATCCACCTTGAAAACCAGGGGTCCTGATTTCGGCGGGGGCCTTTTGCATTTTCAGAGGCTCTGGCCAAAGACGTCAACAAATGGAATTATTCCGTCTTCAAATGTTTGATAATGAGAGAGGAGGGGGGTGGGCGTGGGGGTGGGGAGAGAAATAGAATATCCATGAACAAAGGACCTTCTGGAGGCTCGCTCCGGTTCCGGATGCCAGAATTCCTCAGTGCAGCTTGTGAAGGGGCACCCTTGAAAAAGAACACCTTTGCCCCCCACTCCCCCAACCTTCTGCTACTATTTTTCTCTCGTAAGTAGTAGCACTCTTAGAAGAGCGACCTTGAGATATCTGCTCCAACCGGGATAGGAAGGAGAGGGAAACTCGGATGTTTTCCTGCTTGGCGTTTTCTCTTTTCCGAGCAAAAGAAAATAGTGTGGTTGGATTCCACTTCCCGAGGTAAATAACAGCAGTAATGGTAACAGTCAGACTTCTCCCAGGCAGACCGCTACATAGGATCTCAGTGATCCTTTTTCCTGGCCTTCCTCCACCCTCTCCCCTCCCCTCTCCACCTCCTCTCTTTGCCTCCTTTTCCACTTCCTTCTCTTTCCTCCTCTGGGCCTCTGCCTCTTGCTAACTGCTTTCCACTGGCTTCCAGAAAGGCAACCAAGGCCATCTTTGCAGCGTGTTCCCCGACATCCCTCTGCCCAGCAACCCCTCTCTCCTTTTCACTCCTGGTGTGGAGCAAAGGGGCCTCCGTGGGACGGAGAGAAGGTTTCTTTTTGGGGTGGCCTCCCGGGGACGGCGTGAGACGGAGGGGACCGTGCGCGTGAGTGCGCGTGCGGCCGTAGGTGAGGCCGAGAGCCCGTGTGTACCTGTGCAAGAGGCGAGGAGAGCAGGTGAGTGTGCGTGTCCACAGGTGTGCACGCGGGAGTGCACCGCGCACCTGCAGACAGGCGGGGCTGGAGGTGTGTGAGCAGCCGGCATTTCTGTTCCCTGCAACCGCTGGGCAGCCTGAGGACGGAGGTCTCCTCCCAAGCTCCCAGCTGCTCGAACAAAAGACCAAGTGCCCGATGGCTCTGGGCTGCCTGAGCTGGCCCCTTTAGATCACTACTCCAAGTTCAATTTGCAGGAGTCCAGCGTTAATGGGTTGTAGACTGCGCCCTTGCACAATTACCTTATCACAACCGAGCATCTATGGAACCGGCAAAGCATTTCCATTGAACAAATCAAAGGGGGGAGGGGTGCTGGCGCCCGGCTCCAGCTTGCCTGGAACTCCCGGCTGGCCACGAGTTCCAGGGGAAGCCCACAAGCCCAGACTAACTTTCCCTGCAGGCCCCCCGGGCTTGTGGGGGCGGGGTGGGATGAGACCGAGGAAGAAAAGATCAAACGCTGCCTGGTTCCCACCTCAGATGGGAGGCCGATGGGATGCTGCTCCTTTGGTCCCCAGGGCTCCTCCTGCCTTGTGTCCTTGGGAAGGCCCCTCCTCCATCATGGCCCACTCAGGGAGGGGTCTGTCCTTTCCTGGGTGCAGGATCATTTATTCTGTGCCTTCACTGTGGTAGCCTACGTTCCTTAGGAGATGCTCAGAGGACTCGTTGGGTGAATGAATGAATGAATGAATGAATGAATGAACGATTCTAGTACAAGCAGGATATGTGCACTTGGGGAAAGGTGGGGAGACCTGGGCTTGAATCTTGTGGGGATGGCGATCCACAGTGGTATTTATTGGACCTTCGTGTGCCTTCTGCGTGCCGGGATTTCCTGGATCCCTCGGGGCATCGGGAGGGTGACCAGCCATAAGCACATGGTAAGAGATGCTCGGATGGAACTCGGGCACGGTCAGTCTGCACCGTCTTAGGGAGCAGTGATGAGAACTGGGTGAGCCTCTCAGGCTGCAGTCGGCACTCAGTACACACTGGCTTCCTCCCTTCCCGCTTCCTCTGTACTCAGTCGCTAGGACCTTTTTGTATCCATTTCTGCAGTTCTAGAGTGAGCTCAGTGTGGAAAGGAGCACAGAGGGTGCTTGATAAAGAGCTAAGTTGAACGATCATATTACTTTTTGCTCTTGGGCACTGATATTAATAACCAGGGTTTTTGAATGCCTCGCCTGTGCCGGGTATTGATTGAACAGCAAGCCTGTTTAACCTCCAGGCCCCTGTAGGTGGCGGATATCAGCCTCTCCGTTTTACGGGGGTGGGGGTGGGGGTGGTGGAAACTGAGACTTGGGGATGTCCAAGGTCAAACTGAGAGTGGTCCAAGGTCAAAGAGTTTCGGGTGGCAAGGAAGGGATTTTTAACTCAGGCTTCCTTGACTCCAAAGTCCGGTCTCTCTCTTGCTCCCATTTAGTCTCTTGCTGCCTCAGTTTCCCCTTTTGCAAACCAGATGATCCCCAGCACTGAGCGCAAAGACTGGAGCACGGCAGGTGCTCAGAGGTGCTGTGGAGTGAACGAATGAAGCTGACACATTCTGGTGACCATAGGGTCCTGCCTCGGGAGTCCGTGGAGGTGGGGATGGGAGACTGGAGGACCAGAAAACTGTAGCTCTACAAGGGAGACGTTGAGATGACCTTGCCCAAGGACTTTTCTGCTTCAGGAGCCCACCTCCCTCCTGCAAGCTCTGGGGAGGCCAGAGAGGCTTTTACCCCTGGCTAGAAAGTGCCTGGAGCTCGAGGGAGGAGGTGGCCAGTCTGGGGGTGCCCCAGGTCCTCATTGAAATGTGTAGGTAGAAGGGAAGGCACTGCACATTTGTCTAGGTGAATTAAAAGCACAATCCCCATCTCCCAGAGGGAGAAGTTGGTTCATATTTATACATTTAGTCTTACAGGTGTAAAATAGGTTTCCTTTATGCTTGTATAATAATTTTTCATTTGAATTTCAAGGCTTTATTCCCTTCTTTGGATTCAAGTCCTCCACCTGAACCCGATTCTCTCCATAACCATTAATTCCTTCATCATAAAAATGAATTCCATCTAATTCTCTATAGTGGCCGTTAGAGCAGATCAAAAAGTGCCTTTGCAAAGGGGCTCCCCCCCCC